ATAAAAAACACATAAATAAATCCAGAAAAGGCCAGGCTATCACACATCCCTGCCCACGCATAAAATAAAGAGGAACGAAGGAGCAGGCCAGACACACCCTAAAACAGCCCATCACCAAAAAAATGGAAGCAAACTTATTGGACATGAGAGAAAAAATAAAACAAACAAAAAATTACCAATTCTTGGTCGCTTTGAAGACATGTAGTTGCATTCTGGGGCAACACTTGCAATAGAGGTCACATTGCTACCGAATCGACTAAGACTTGGCTAATTCTTGGTCGACTAAGAATAACAAATTCACATAAAATAGATTTTTTTTGGATTAGATATTTCCATCTATACTTCTTTTAGACTGGCATACTTAACACAAAGCCAAAGCTAAAAAACCTAGAAAAGGAGACATGGATGCTTGTTCTATACAAAAATGCGTGCGTGTACACACATCTGAAAAAAGGAAATTCTGGTTCTAAAAAATGGATGCTGCACTAGAAAAACTACATAGAAAAACTATACATTTAGAGATATTTTCTATCAACAACAACCACACATACGCACACACGGATTCTAGGAAAAAGAAAAAGGAGAAAAACTCACAAAAGATGCTACTACAGTGTACGAATTAATTTCCTTTTCACTCTTAGACTTTGTAAACTTTGCAGGCAAAAGAAAAGACACACCGTTCAAAGCCCGCCACTCCCCTGCCTAGCCCACCCAAAGCTGACAAGAAAAACAAGGCACGAAAGCAGCCCACTAGTCCGTCCATCTACACGGGCCAATTTACAATTAAAAGCAGTTTGCACATATCTAAAAGCAGTAGTAGATCTAATGGTCTACGAGTCGACTGAGACTTTGGGAAGTCTCAGTCGACTGATTTTTAGCAGTACGGTTTTTCAAATTAGCTAGTGTGCTTACTTGCTAGTTTAGCTAGCAATATACTGCTCAAGAAAGAGGCAAGCAATTTGACACACACCTTCCCTGGGCTGCCCATTTTACACCTTTTTTCCTTTTGTATGACCTTCAGAAAATATTCTGGTTTTCGAATTTTTCGTTCACAATTTTAAGAAATGTTTGCGTTTTAGAAAACAAAAAGGATAAATGTAACAAAAGTATGTGGTTTGCAATTTGTGTTCAAGGTCATGGAAAAAATTAGGGCCATTCCAAGAATGTCATGAAACAACGTGCTTTAGGCTCGCCCAACAATTTGTCTTACAAGGCCATGAAAATAAATTGGGCCATTTAAGGGATGTCGAGAAATGAGGTGCTCCCAAACGGACCCTTCTCGCCGACCTCAACACTATGCTTGAACATGTATTTTTTAGAAACCTGAGAACCAACCTTAATTTTGCATGCAGGGGGGCATGCCCATGTTAGGCATTCATACCAGGTTTGAACGATACCGTATGCCATTTTGTGACACAACTGACCATTTATTCGACCAATAAAATGCCTCTAATTGATCATACAAGGTCATGGAATAAATAAATGGGCGGCGCCAAGAGGGGGTGTGCGTCGGTTTGTGTGACACTACTCCCCGCACAAGAGCTCCTCGTCGGCGCCTTAAGCACCCCGTGGACTACCTAGCGCTCACGCACTCTCCTAGTGGGTCGTGGCCAATATAGCTTGCTTGATCGCTCCTCTCGCTCCACCTTCCGAATTAATCCTTCAATCCATCTAGTGATATTTTTCAAAAAATATCTACCAAAAATTTTCTCTTGCAAGTACGTGCTGCGAAAAAGCGCATGAATTGAGAAAATGTTTTTGAATTCAAAAAAGTTCATAAATTTGAAAATAGTTCACCAATTTGTAAAAAAGTACATTAATTCAAAAAAAGTTCATAAAATTGGAAAAGTTCATGAATTTCGAAATTTGTTCATGATTTTGAAAAGTTCACAAACTTGGAAAAAATCATTTTTTAAATCGTCAGATTTGAAAAAACTTCACGAATTCAAAAATAGTTCATGGGTTTTGAAATGAAGTTCTCAGGTTTGAAAAATGTCATAGATTTGGACCAAAAATTTCACGGATTTGAAAAAAATATCACATATTTGAAAAATCATCTGGATTTTCAACAATAGTTCTCGGATTTGGAAAAAGTTCATCCTTTTTTGAAAAACAATTCATGGATTTAAAAAAAGTTCACAGATTTTAAAAATGAAGTTCACTAAAAAAGTTGCAAAAAAATGAAAAAAGTTCATGGATTTTAAAAAATGTTCACTAGACAGTTTGCAAAAAACTGAAAAGAAATCACAGATTTTAAAAAAGTTCTAGAAAAATGAAAAAGGTTCATGCTTTTGAGAAAGAAAACAGAAAAAAGGAAAATAAAAAAAACTGTAGAAAAACTGGCGAAATAAAACACAAGTAATATAATTAGAGCCTTCGTTGTAGTGTTACATAGTAGACGCATAACAAAAAAGAGGAAAAACAGTTTATTGGCACGTAAGTTGTTGTGGCCGAGTTGGTTGTCCTAGTTGACTTGATCCGTTAGGTGGAGAGATTGTAACCTACTTTTGCCCAGTTTTTGAAGTTTGGAAAAACAAAACAAAATCTGAATGGGCCATGCCCACGCCGTTAGTTGAGAGGTCCTCTTCGGCGCCCTCAGCGCCGCTTAGGCTAGCTGGCGCTCGAAGGCAGCTAGTAATGGGCGGGCCCAGCATCGCTGGCGTCCAGCAAAAATGCTCCAAAAAGAAACGTGAATACTGCGCTACTATTTTGCAAATACGGGAATGAACCAGCATGCCAACACTATAAACACGAGCGACTAACCACTGCACGACCATCGCTTTGATGTCATCAATTGAAAAACACACTATTTGATCATTTTTCCTGTCCCAGTATAAATTATTTGGGAAAAAAATCATAAATATGAAAAAGATTTCATGAATTCTTAAAAAGTTCATCTATTTCAAACGCAGTTCACGGATTTTCACAAAACAAATTCATAAAATCCAAAAAAGTCCATAGATTTTGATAAAAAAAATCACAATTTTGTAAATAGTTCTCTGAATTTTGAAAAAATCTCATGGATTTGAGAAAATTTCATGGATTTAAGAAAGGTTCATCGATTATGATAAAAAAAGTTCACAAATTTGAAAAGAGTTCACCAAATTTTGAAATAAAGTTCATGGATTTGAAAAAACTTCATGGATTTAAAAAATCACCGATTTAGATAAAAAAAGTTCGCAAATTTCAAAAGAGTTCACCGAATTTTGAAAAAAGGTTCCCAGTTTATAAAAAGTTCACCAATTTTGGTTAAAAAGTTCACTAATGTGAAAAAGGTTCACTAGTTTTCAAAAAGGGTTCACAAATCTGGAAAAGTTCATGCATGATTTTTTTTAAATCCAATGAACTTTTTCTTAAATGTATGATTTTGAGGGAGGTGGGCCCCCCAATCCTCCTATATCCAATCCAGAGTGTCCACGTTGCACATTACGTAAAGTACATAGATTAGTTTACATAGGTGTAGCATTGTCCTTGTATTAATTGCACTTAGTCCCTTGTTTATTTTCGCGAGCACTTAGTCCCTTGTTGTAAAACATCATGTTCAAGGGGATGACTTTTGCATGTGTAAATTCAAGTAAATAAAATACTATAGGTAACTGTTCAATAAAAATTACAAAGCTCTTTGCACAATGTGAGTATAAAGCCCTTGATTATATTATAAAAGTAATGCTTACTCCCTGGCACATATGAACCTTGAAATAAACAAAAATCTATTTCTATCAAATATAGATGAAGATAGATAGGCAGGTGGCAGTGGATAGATTTCTCAAAGAATCAACCGTCTAGCACACTAGCCCAGGTAAACTACATGTAAAAGATAAAAAACAAATCACGAACACGCAAATGACCTTTGCGTTTCATTGCATTAGAAGGATGGGGGAAAGTTATAGTCCTCCTAGAAGGTTAATTTTACAGTACATCATACAACTCAGTGGACATCCCAGGATTGGTGCAGAACAACCTGCAGGCCTTGTGCCCCTGCCTTAGCCCATCATCGGATCTCATCCTTGATCTTGTTGAGGAGCCCAGTGATGGAAGGCATCGCGTTGTCGAAGACACATTCACTGATTTGATAATCTAGTCGGACATAGCGCCTATCACTGATTTGATGTCATTGGCAATATTCTTGGCATCTGCTGCAATACCAGCCAATCCTCTCCTTCCTAACCCAGCACAATAGAGCCCATTTTCACCTTTCCAATGATTTGGATATTCTTCGATGGGCAGTCCATTGCCATTTAACATGCTCTCACCATTCTGGGATAAAAAAATATAGAGCTTGTTAGGAGATTTGACAATTGTTGCACCAAGAAAAAAACTCGGACATATTCAAACATCGATGTTGTTACCTTGAGCCATATATTTGCTGTGCTTTTGTATCCAGTTGCAAACACAATCACGTCAAATGATATCTTTTTACTGCATTGAAATTCAACTATATCGCCCATGATCTTACTAATGCTCCCCTGTACCTGTAGGAGATGAATAGAATATTGATAACTTGGCATACAAAGACAACATATGTTATGAAATCTATGTCTTGTCAAGAATATACTTACTTTGATGATACCTTTTTTGATTAACCCAACAGTGCCAACATCAATAACAGCGGATCGGCCGGTTTTTGACTTGACGATCATTGGACCCATTTTTGGCCTTCTGATGCCATACCTCGATAGGTCTCCAAATATTAAATTTGCCGCCATCACAAGGAGTTTATCCACTAGATTCAGTGGAAGGCGGCGAGCAAGTGTCATCCCCAACCGGATTAATTCCTTTGTCATTACATGAATCTGCAACCACAAAACTTGTCACATCTCATTTGGAGCCTGCATCATCGAATAAAAATTCATAGAATCATCTTCTTTCAAGAGTTAAATTTTCGGTGTAGTTCATCTAATTGCTTAGTTGTTTGTGCATGTTATAAAATAGTTTATCGCTCTATACCATGAAATACTTTCTAGTAATAACTCTAAAAAATAGCATCCTTCTAATGGTGGCTATAATAAGAAATTGCCATGTACCCACTGAAAATATATAGTGCCCGTAGGGTGGGGGTGGGGGATTCCCTAGTGTTTTCAGGTCAAAAATAATATATAGTGCGTGTACATACCGGGCTTCGTATAACAACTGAAGTATTGGCACCATGGGCCGCAAGGTCATAAGCAATTTCCATTCCAGAGTTGCCAGATCCAACGACCAATGCATTCATGCCAGAGTAGCTCTTGCCTGACTTGTAGCTTGAGGAGTGGATGACATCACCCGGAAAACTTTGCAGTCCGGAGATCATTGGAATATTCTCTGCACTATTCTCACCACTTGCCACAACAAGAAACTTTGATGTGAACCTGACTATTGTGCTCTTTGCCATGTCATGTGCCACGATGGACCAACATTTTTGGTCATTGTCAAATGTGGATGACTCCACACTAGTGAGATACTTGGGTTGAATATTGAAATGCTCAAGATAGTCATCTAAGTACTTTACAAACAAGGTTTTTGGTATGTATGTTGGAGCATCTAGTGGGTATGACATGTGTGGCAACTCACAGAACTCCTTTGCAAGATGCAGCTTGAGGCGATCGTAGGCGCGGTTGCGCCAAAGCGACGCGTTGCAACTTTCACGCTCGACAATGACATAGGGAATTGAGAATTGGCCAAGGCATGATGCTGTTGCAAGGCCTGCTGGCCCAGCGCCAACAATCAACACTACAACATTCTCCATTTCAAAGAGAATAGTTGACAAAGTTGTGGGATGGGTGCAATGGTAGGCTGGAGTGTTTGCTTGTTTGCTCGATGAATCTTTGGATGCATATATGGGCATATATATACCGGTATGTTTCATGTGTCAATCTATTTAGAATGAGGAATGAAAAAGGCAAAGATTTATTGACGCCTTATTCTGGTGTGTACTAGTATTCCGTCTAAATATTGAACGTTGGTGTGAAAGCATGTCCTGATACATTAGAGGATACAAAATAGGCAGGAAACTCACTCTTGATCGATTGGTTTTTTTGGAAACTTATCAACCGGCTTTGGATATGTTTATACTAAAATCTCTTTACAATTTCTTTCCGTTCGTGCTGTCATCAATGAAAATTCATATGGGATAAGGATATGTTTCATACTAGAGGCAAACGCACGCCTTGCCACGCCGTTTTCTCTCAAGGCATTTTTTCACGCTAATTTCTCTCAAGCATTTTATTGGTCACGGGTCCATCAAAATATTATTTCTTTCTTTTTATTTTTTGGTCCAAACTTCTATTCTTCGTTCTTCCCCGTGCCTTGCAATTTCTATTTTTCTACCGACATGCGGATGGTTGTGTTATGGAAACCGTGCATGCTTTGCCGTGACAATAATTTTTGGCGCGCTACTATGGTTCTAGGTCATCACTTATCACCAAATAACTGTGTAGTTTGTGGCGGACTGTTAAATGTAATGCAATATGATTTTTTTGTCCACTTCAAAACGTTGGACATCTAGATGTACACCTAAAATTATGAGGCCTCAGATAAGCTATCAAGCATGCATGTTAGGAAGCAACAATTTGGTATAAACGAACAATAATCCCTGATTTCCTACAACATGTACCAGCTTCATGTTAAGTATGTTGCAGCTTGGACCATCAGCAAGAACAACTTCAGTCCTGCTCCCCAGCTTCCTCTGCTCAAATTAATCACAGCCCATAGTCACTGTTGTCTGGATTTTATTTGAACTATTGCTAGGAGTAAATATATCCTAACCATGTGACCAGGTGCAAAGATTTCTTTGCACTACAAATTGCAAAGACTAATAGCTTTGTTCCTCTTTGTTATTTGCCAAACGTATGACAAATTGGCCACAATATTTACACAATGCTTGGCAAATACAAATGCTCTGTATCCATGTTCGCACCGGCAAAAAAGAACAATAAACACAAATAGTGGGAAATAGAATAAGAGCTAAATGACATACCTTTTCAGCTAAATTCTTCAGCCAGCAAGATTCTGAAATAATATTTACCAAAAAAAAGTAATCCTTTTCCTTGTAATTCCAAGATAAATAAAACATCCATCAGACTGAACTGATTGGTCATGAAAGGGACTATAAGGTAACATATTAGGATCACATCTAAAAAATGTGACACCAATGTGCATGTTGCATAACCCATGAGAAATAAAAGCGATAAGCAAGATCCAAAAGCATACTTAAATGGTCAACTAACCAATCCAGATCTAGCCAAAGACAAATAGTGTATATGTTCATGTGACGACTGATGAAACTGAAACTGTGAAATTAGCAGGATAGTATAGTTGTTGAACCGGTAAATAGCTTTTGAGGTTTCATGCTATAATACACCTTTTAGGCTTTTAAAGTGTAACGTGAATTTTGAATCCTTGAACAGGGGAAGAAGGCTAGCCTTGTCGAAGAATATTGTATAGATAAAATAACTGTTATTTTACAACCAAGACCAAACCAAGCTTTGAACTGGTGATAACACAGTACTGCAACAAGCTTCAGACACCTAAACTTTGAACACATGAACCATCAATGTAAAGCGGCTTTGCTGGAGAAAATAGCAGAACTGACCTGTAACAGATGCACATGATTCTTCAGTGGTGAGCATAATTGGAGCACCAGTAAGAAAATTCTTCATGATTTTGCCAAGTGTGCCCCCACGCCCCAACCATGCTTGTAAGCCAACTACCCAGGTAGGCGTACGGCCGTGCCGCAAGCAGCTGCATCCATGCCTCGGCTCTCCCCTGGACACAACCGCGATCAACGACACCGCTGCGCCACCCAGCTTCGCCCATAGCCGTGCCATACTGGTTGCCTTGCCGCGTTCGTGCAACTTCTCCCTCTTGTAAAATTGCGGGCAGTACACAAACTGCAAACAAGCATATTCCTAGTTCTCATGTTAGTGGATACCAAAGTGTGGACCAAAAGTCACATCAAAAAGATAATATTGACACTCCACAAGAATAGGTATGTATCAAGAGCAGAGTAATTGCTCATTGTACATCACTAATAGCACAATGTTGACAGCAAAAACCTGGATCCTTATCTAATGCTACGCAAAGGTGGATACAGAGAGAGGCTTAAATGGCCAACTGGTGGTAAAAACATATTGATGTATTTAACAATATGCAACTTGAGCAATTAGAAAGATACACGTAAAATCCAACCTGGATCCTGATAACCCACAAGTATAGGGGACCGCAACAATTTTCGATAAGTAAGAGTGTCGAACCCAATGAGGAGCTAAAGGCAGAACAAATATTCCCTCAAGTCTATCGACCACGGATACAACTCTACGCACGCTTGACGTTCGCTTTACCTAGAACAAGTATGAAACTAGAAGTACTTTGTAGGTGTTGTTGGATAGGTTTGCAAGGTAATAAAGAGCATGTAAATAAAAAGTAGGGGTTGTTTAGATAAAGACACAACTAAGTTAGTTTTAGTAAAGAGCTTTTTGTTACGAGAAAGTTATTTGTCCCTAGACAATCGATAACTAGACCAGTAATCATTATTGCAAGTTTATATGAGGGAGAGGCATAAGCTAACATACTTTCTCTACTTGGATCATATGCACTTATGATTGGAACTCTAGCAAGCATCCGCAATTATTAAAGATCATTAAGGTAAAATCCAACTATAGCATTAAAGCATCAAGTCCTCTTTATCCCATACGCAACAACCCCCTTACTCGGATTTATGTTTCAGCCACTCACGCAACCCACTATAAGCGAATCATGAATGTATTGCAACACCCTACAACGGGGATCCGTCACACTTGCGCGACACAGAGAGCACCACAGGACAGCACCAATAATAAAACATGCAACTCAAACCAATCACGATCATCAAATAACCATTAGGATAAAACGGATCTAATCAAACATCATAGGATAGCCATACATTATTAGGAAATAATATATAGCGTTGAGCACCATGTTTAAGTAGACATTACAACGGGTAAGAGAGAGGTTACACCGCTGCATAGAGGGGGGAAGAGTTGGTGATGATGGCGGTGAAGTTGTTGGTGAAGATTGCGGTGATGATGATGGCCACGACAGCGTTCCGGCGCCACCGAAAGAGAAGGGGAGAGGGGGCCCCTTCATCTTCTTCTTCCTTGACCTCCTCCCTAGATGGGAGAAGGGTTTCCCCTCTGGTCCTTCGCCTCCATGGCATGGGAGGGGCGATAGCCCCTCCGAGATTGGATCTGTCTCTGTCTCTCTCTGTTTTTGCGTTCTCAGATTCTACCCTTTCACCGTTTCTTATATTCTCGGAGATCCGTAACTCCGATTGGGCTGAAATTTTAACACGATCTCTATCCGGATATTAGCTTTCTTGCGGCGAAAGAAGGGCATCAACCGCCTTACGGGGTGGCCACGAGGGTCAGGGGCGCGCCCCTGCCTCGTGGCCCCCTCGGGCATCGTCTCACGTGGATTTTTCTTCCAAAAAATCATATATATTCCAAAAAAAATCTCCGTCAGATTTTATCCCGTTTGGACTCCGTTTGATATGGATATTCTGTGAAACAAAAAAACATGCAACAAACAAGAACTAGCACTGGATCAATATGTTAGCCCCAAAAATAGTGTAAAAAGTTGCCAAAAGTATATGAAAGTTGTAGAATATTGGCATGGAACAATCAAAAATTATAGAGAGGACGGAGGCGTATTAGATCCCTCTCACAGGATAGACATGGAAATTAAGTAGCAGATAATAGATTGTACAATCATGTAGTGCGACTCTACAACGAATTAAACACCATGCACGATACTACATCCTAGTTTTCAGAGCGTGTCATATGTAGCCGACTTAGTGAATTAACTTTTCAAGAGAGGTTGTCAGCAATACATATGCATTTATCTTTGTAGTAAAACATGATTTTCATTTTTTAACTGAACAAACTGCCACTCGGAGTTTAAAAGCAGGCTGAAATTGCACAAACTTTTTTGAGGAATTGGTGACAGTGGGAGAGGCTCCCACTGACTTTGTATTACTCACAACAGAATAGTTACATTTGTGTTACAAAGGGGTTTTAGGCCCCCCCGGCCATGATTGATACAAAGCTAGCTGCCCAAACTAACAATGAAATCAGAGAGGAAAGGATGAACCTTCTCCGGACAGTTGTGGGTCACCAAACCCAGCAAATGTTTAAATCTAGCTAACCATGCCCCAAACGAATGCGGGATCCTCCTGTAATGTTGGTTGTTCCTTTCCATCCACAGGCTCCAAGCAGCAAGCAAGAAGATGTCCATGAAAAGCGGCCGACGCCAGTCTTCTCTACCACCATGCAAAATGGCAAGCCTGTTGGTCCCCCCTGGCCACATCAGACCAATCCTACTCCAGCATTGTTGGGCAAAAGGGCACGTGAAGAAGAG